GGCGCCATCGCGGAGGACCACGAGAGAGACGGATAGATGTATTTTGATTTGATAAGGCCAATTAGATTAAACTAATGGTATTTCAGAGATTTTTCTGAATAAATTTTTTTCTTAGGAACTCACTGTGAAACTTGGTTGCAACTTGGCCTGGCTAAAGTTGAAAGACCATGGCCAGGAGAAGTCAGCTGGCTGGGGGGAAGGGGTGATGATTTGGAGATGATCATGTTTACATTTGTGCAGTCAGCTCTTCACGTAAAGTCTATACAGCGGTTTCACATTCATGGTGTTTTAAATTTTTGTCTTTACAATTATCCCAGGAAAGAGGCAAGATAAGGAGGACAGCCTCTGTGGATAGGTCTTTAGAAGAAAGAACCAGAGTTGCTCAGGCCCAGAACCGGGCCAGCCCTGTCACCCTGGCCCTCCTCCTGCTTCAGTGCTCACCTGGATACTACCTGAGGGGTGGGGATAACATGTGAAGCCTTCCAGCCTCCCAGGCAAGGTTGACCTGGTGTAGGCAGTTGCTGGTACAGTGGCGTTTGTTTCCCCAGGAGACCAAGTGACATAGGCATATACCTGTGGAAAGTTCTAGAAAATAGTGCCCCTTGCTCACCAGATCCCTTGACTAAAGCTCGGCCCCCTCTGGGGGTGATTCAGGGAAGTGATTCCTTTGCGGTCAGACTCTGCACTCCTGTCTCTCACTTTTTCCACTTTAAAGGGGACATTGTTACAGATGTTCAGATCAGTCAGCATGGGGAGGGAAGGAGCAGTCATTGCATTTGAGGAGGAGTTGATGAGACAGTAAAAGCCTGGGGCAGAGAGGATTCACGGTGGCACGACTGTGTGTAAACACTCGAGGGAGTATCGGAAGGATCAGGCAGAGCACGATAGGACCACATGATGCGGGGTAGCTAGGGACGCATTTAGGTTCAATGCAAGGAAGGGTTTTCGAACATAAGTGTTCTCCAAAGATGATAGTCAAGTGTGGACACAGGAGAACCAGGCAAGGAAGCAGCTAAGGAAAAAGAGCGGTTAGGTTAGACCAGAGGTTCTCAAGTGGGAGTGATTACCCCACACCAGGAGGATATTAGCAGTGTCTGCAGACATCTGGATCGTCACACTGAGGGGGGCTATTAGCATCTACTGGGTAGAGGCCGAGGATGCTGCTAAACATCTTATAATGCCCAGGACAGACGCCATAACAAAGAATTATCCAGCCGAAAATATAAACAGTGAGGAGGTTGAGATGCCCTGGAGGAGGTAAACTGTGAGTCTGGAGTCTGGGGTAATCACCCCCCCCAATATGTCCAGTAATTCAGAAGACCACGGAAGGGAACCGGTGAAATGCCTGGAATATCCAGATTTTAAGGAGGATTGTGCAGTAGGATATCCAAGTGCACAAATCTCAGAAATATATTTCCAGTTTCAGACATTGTAGGCTATGTTTTGGGACGCTGGCCATCCCTACTGTAGCCCAAACTATGAGGCTGTTATTCTCCAGAAAGCAAATATATGGGCTCCCACCACTTCCACCTACTGCCACATGGAAGATGGAAGCAACATGCACAAGTCTAGAGGCAGGGCGGGGTGGGGCGTGGGAGGAGAGGAGTTGAAAACATGCAGAGGAATCCGCAGTGAGCTTTCTCTCAAAGCCTCTAAAAATTATCCCTGATTATTTTAAATATACTTTTCATGCCTTCTGGGTGATGAAATGTGCCAACCCCCAGAAAAAACCTGGAACTACAAAGAATTTCATTTTCACCAGATTTACCACACACACTCAGAGCTTGAGAATCAGATGGATCCGAGGTCGTCTCTAGGTTCTGCCTATTACCATCTGGGCATTGGGTGAGTTATCTAACCTTTCTGAGCCTCCGTTTCCTTGTTTATAAAATCGAACAAATTACATCTTCATAGGACAGCTGCGAAGATTATAAAATGTAGGTGAAATGCCGTGTGCCATGCCTGGTGCATAACAGATGCTCACTAAGTGGCAGCTATTAATTGTATTATCTCCCCCAGGGGATCAAACTAGCACGTGGCATTGGGTTAGGTGCTGATCAACAAAATTATGCCATTTTAAAACTCACAATCTAAGATGAAAATTAGTTTGCCCTCATTATAGTTTCCGATTCTTATTAATTAAAATAAATAAGTAGCTGCCAGTCAGTAGCTACACATGACCTCACTGAATCCTCCTGACGCCCTAGGGAGAGAGGTATCACCAACTCCATTTATAGATGAAAAACTGAGATGCAGATGCCAGTGACCGGCCTGAGGTCGCACAGTAGCTCCTCATGGCAGAGGCAGAATTAGAACCCATGCGTGTGCAGGACACCACTGCCTCCCTGACCCCTCCATTGCCCTTTTCGGCCTGCTTCTCTGCTCCGGCCTGGACCTGGGGCCTCTCACTACAGCGAGACCTGCCCTCAAAGCTTCCCAGGCACCAGCGTATAAATGACCAATTGCGGCACAAATGACTCCCAACCCGGAATCCCCTTAGGGCAACGATAGGGAAGTACTACATTTCAAAAAGCCACCCTAAAAACATACATTTACTTTTGATGAAACCCGAAAAGATGCACTAAAATGCAACGCTTCCTGGATTTAAGTTGGAATTATGTGTATCAACTCTCTGTGGTCATACTGGTTATTTCAACCTAAGTAGAAACTCTGACACCTAGCTGGAGTGGCTCAGTGGTTGAGTGTCACCCATGAACCTGGAGGTCACCGTTCGATTCCTGGTCAGGGCACGTTCCCAGGTTTCGGTGGATCCCCAGTAGGGGGTGTGCAGGAGGCAGCCAGCCAATGATTCTCTCTCATCATTGATGTTTCTATCTCTTTCCCTCTCCCTCTTCCTTCCTCTCTGAAACCAATAAGAAAGAAAGAAAGAAAGAAAGAAAGAAAGAAAGAAAGAAAGAAAGAAAGAAAGAAAGAAGGAAGGAAGGGGAGGGATGGAATGTAGTGGGGAAAGTTTACAAGAAAATCACTTTTCTCCGCATTTCTAAAATTGTTATCATAATCAGAGAGGCCCACCTTCAAAAAGACTATCTTGCAGCCACCCTCCTGAGGGCCCCTTTGACATCCTTGTTCCTCAGACTGTAAATGATGGNGAAGAGAGAGAGAGAGAAAGAACGTCCGATTGATGGTCCCTGATGTCTTTGANAGAGAGAGAGAGAGAGAAAGAACGTCCGATTGATGGTCCCTGATGTCTTTGATGAACAGAAAAAAAGGGGGGGGGGGAATCTAAATAGTACGGCCTATTTCACAGTAAAAAGTCCAACCTGAACTCCATGGGAGAAATAAAAAATGCCTTTCATGCTGAAATTTCTGGGGATCACTGAGCCAAAAGGACAGAGCACAAATCATAGAACATCAGGTGCAAAACAACATCGCTGAGCATCCCGAGGATCTGGGGAGAGAGGCCACTGGGCACGAATGAGACATTCGGGTGCCCTCCCTGCCCACTTCTTTTAAGGGAACACTGCCCTGCCCAGTGCCCTGTCCCTGGACACGCCACATCGGTCACCACGTGTTCCTAGCCCCTGACGCGAGCTGATGGGACATTCTGGACTCACTCATCTATAGAAGCTGTTGAGAAATCTCTGATCTGTGTGACTGGGCCAAAACCATGAGCCCAAGAGTGTGCAGTCAAGCACCGAGCACAGGTAATCACCTAAGAAAGGCACGAATGCACCGCATCACCAGGCATTCTGAGGAAACGGTAGGATTCCAGTGTAATCGGTATCAACACCCCTACTAACATGCAATTCCAGGGACCCACCAAGCCAGACAAGTCCCCAGAACCGGTGCGGGGCAGGCGTGCAGGAGCACAGGGACACGCAGCCTGAGAGGCGGCCGCAGCACCCTCAGTTTCTGCTCCTGGGGGCACGGCTGTGTGCCCATCCCCTCTGTATCCCTGGCATTTCCACCCCGGGAAGTTGGGCCCGTGACCATGCTCCACATCTGAGAACAGAAGGAACAGAGGAAAGTTGGGCAACTCTGGAGAGGGGTGTGAACAGCAGCGCAGGGCCGGCTGGAGCCTCCTGGGAGAGGCAGCCGGGGAAATTAAACAGAAACAGAAACATGTGCAGGACATGGAAGCGCGACGCTCGGGAAAGGAGCCCCGCGTGCAGTACGGCTACTGCGGGCTCCTGGCCACAGAGCACATCCTTCCTGTGCCATGCGCACCCTCACCCTCACCCTCACCCTGCAAGCGGGCGGGGGCGCCCTGAGAGCCGGGGTGAGGGCGGTGCTGGTGGCGCCGGTGACAAGGGTGGGG